TTTTACCAATTCGTGATTTAGCGTGACCCCAACCATTGTCGTTGGTGGGACATCCATCCACACACGAGACATCTAATTGAACCTCGCTGGTCACGACTTCTCAATAGAACTCCAGGAAGCTCCATCCTTTAGCAAGTCACTAGCGAGCATCAGATTAATTTTCTATAGTTTGGTTTGTGATCAATTGTGATCAGCTCGTAAAAACATAACTGACCCTTACAAACCAGACTATAGATAATTATATTATAAATAGTTGACCTTTTAGCAAAATAATTTTCCTACTTACATCACCCTTTGGAATTATTTTGGGCAAAGTTAAACTTTCGACACCACTAGCAACCACTCAGCAAACGACCTTGAACGGACCAATCACATTGGATAGGCATATATGATGAATGGAAACGCATATTTATAGAAAAAAGCATAAAGAAGGATAAAACGGTTACAAGGAGTATCTTTCTCGAATATGTGGGAGAAACATCCCCCAGTTTAGCATGTGGCTCTCAATGGCGAAGTCACAGCACATCCTGTACATATATTCATCTGAATGACTGTAAATGAGATCCTTTTCAGATCCATTTATAGCCCTTATCTTGTTTTTCAAGCGGCCCCGAAAACCTTCAGTAGAATTCGTATGAGTCCTCGTAACGGGATCCACACAGCAAACAAGTGATTGTCTCTATTTTACACGAAGCAATATCTCTGCAATGCTGGTACCACTAAACTGTTGAGACAAGACTATTCTCAGTCTCGGCAGCTGCTGCTCTCACCGGCTGTTTCAACACCCAGTAATTGCAGATATACAAAATCTGGGTTAGGGAGAGATGTGACCTAGCGGAAAAATTTCCTACGAAATATTAAAATTATCAGCTCACCCTCTCTATTATTAGCATGCTTCAAACATATAGCACAACGATGAACAAACCCACCAGTTGATCTGCTATAGCTTTTTAAAGTCATGATACCAACACAAGAACAAGTTCGCTCTTTCCGGAGCAATTTAAATCCAGGCAATGCTGGAAAACACTAACCTCCTCAAATTGCAGCCGTAACCTTGTAAAGTCACGCATTAGAAATGAATCAAGCGCTCTACAACATTGAACTACGTTCGTGAATCTCATTGGATAATTCGCTGATTGGTAGTTAGTGGTGTCGAAAGTTTAACTTCGCCTTATTTTGCTAATACTTTCCATGTATAACTCGGAGTCACTGTGAAAAAGTATGTCCGACGAAGTTAACGAACTAAAGTAGCCAGCCCGGTAGATCACCTTTGAGAACCAACTAGAATTACCGGTGGTATGACCAAATCAAATTATACCTCCTAGATTTCATGGAAGGTTGAGTGTTTGACAACTGTGTGAATAATGGATTAATTGGAGTTATTAAGACCATGTATATGTAAGGCGGGGTGGGAACTTGATAGGATAACTCGTGCTTTACGAAGATTGGGATTTCTCGAGAGATGAAAGAGCAGAATCGGAAATATAATCCAAATATCAGAACACCCAGTTCTATACTCTTTTTATTTTTCTGTGTGATTTTATTTCACGTTTATTCCTGAAGTCAGGGGTTAGGTCAATCGAAAAAGCTACTATAATTAAAGTTTGTCGTATGTTTGAACACTTTTTAACTCTTAATTTGATTTTGTTTAGGATCTAGGCAGTTGAAGAGAATCCACGAAATAAGACGAGCTCGTACTGTAACAACAGAAGACAAGGGCCAGGCAACAGATCGTTTATTACGAAAATCAACACGTATTTATATATATTTCACATACATTATTATAGCTTATCCAAGTAGACAAGCACAGTCTTCTGATTGGTTGTTTATCAGAAGTTAAGCAGACAAACGCAGGCTTCTGATATAAGAATAAAACTTGTGCACTGTGGTAGAGTGTAATTCCATTATGGGTAAATTTTGTTTTGATAAAGTCTCACAGTGTTATACAGTAATGTTTACTGATGACGTTTCGAGCACAATTTATTGCTCATAATCATATCAAGGTAATCAGATGACTTCCTAAATTCATTTATATAGTTCCATTGTTTTTCTCTTGATTTTCACTTGATTTGATTGGTAATAGTATTTTCCATATTTCAGGTATGAGTGACGAGTCATTCCTATTGCATGTGTTGGGTGTAGACTCGATGAACAAGGATTCAGTAATCAACCTCTCTCTCCACCTACCTAGATTACTTTTTAGAATTTTAACCCTCTCCCACCCTATTGTGTGGTTGTGTGTTAGCGCATGCATTGCAATTGCTGAGCTTTTTTCTAAATTACTTATCTTCTCGGGTCAACCATTCATCCACAGTTATACCATATAAAGAGGGGACATCTGAGACTACGTAGGATTCTGAATAAAATAGGAATTAGGGTGGCATTTAAACCTACAAACTCACTCAGGGGCAAGCTCTGTAGGTTAAAGGACCCAGTTGACCCAATTAGTCAAAATAATATTATTTACAAAATACCATGCAATGACTGGGAGGTCAACTACATAGGTCAAACTAGTAGGTCAGGGGTAGTCAGATTGTCAGAGCATAAGAATTTAGCTAAAGTAAGAATGGTTGACCCCGAGAAGATAAGTAATTTAGAAAAAAGCTCAGCAATTGCAATGCATGCGCTAACACACAACCACACACTAGGGTGGGAGAGGGTTAAAATTCTAAAAAGTAATCTAGGTAGGTGGAGAGAGAGGTTGATTACTGAATCCTTGTTCATCGAGTCTACACCCAACACATGCAATAGGAATGACTCGTCACTCATACCTGAAATATGGAAAATACTATTACCAATCAAATCAAGTGAAAATCAAGAGAAAAACAATGGAACTATATAAATGAATTTAGGAAGTCATCTGATTACCTTGATATGATTATGAGCAATAAATTGTGCTCGAAACGTCATCAGTAAACATTACTGTATAACACTGTGAGACTTTATCAAAACAAAATTTACCCATACTGGAAACGCAGGCTTCTGATTAGTTGTTTCGGGATTCCTCGAAAAATAAAGTTCTCTATTTGCGAATCATGTTTTGCCACGTTAAGTCTGCTGTGATTGGTTGCTGAATCAGCCTTGCTCATATTTTCTCACGGCCACCTCTTACCACAGTACTACTCTACGGATATGTTTCTTCTTAATTTGTTTAAACTAATAAAGGGAACCGGTTGAATGAAATGAAGACTGAGTTTCACTCAGTCAGGTGTGACTGGATTTTGAACATGCATCTGTGATGCATTTTGTGTGCGTCACTGGCTTGATGGTAGAATGCTTGCTAACCACGCGGGAGGTCTGGGTTTGACTCTAGGCTGACGCACTCACAAACCTTGTTTAAGGGTTAGTAAACCCGAAAAAATAGAGAAGGTTGAGGGGGCTAGACAGTATTGCAGCTACTGAAACTTCAAAGCTTAAAACTTGAAGCGCTATGTTCAACGCGGAACGCTTGAGAAAGGAAAACAATTCTTGATACGATAGGGCAAAAAGGCAAAGCCTTTCATCGACATCATTTACGGTTAACCATAGGTTTTCTTCCTAATTCGAAGACCAAGTAAAATAGTGCATGAATACAATGGTTCCTACAAATCATAATAAGAGCGATTTATATTGTTCATTTTAGTGAAGTTGTATTCTTTGATCTGAATGGTTTATTTGTCAAGCTTTCATTGTCGTTTTAGACAATAAACTATCCAGCTTAGTGAACGCGACTACACCCGTATCATCTCTCTGAACTCATGGATCTTCATTATTTCTAAATGTGTTATTGACTTATTTTTGGTGAATTTACTATCACCGATAACTCGAAAATGACGTGAAATTAGGCTTTTCATGTCAAATAGTCCTCGAAAGCAAAAATCTTTCCAAACATGTTTAATAAAAGTTATGGAAGTCTGTCATTTTGTCCTTCCAATGTTTAAGCATTTGCATCGAGACAAATTGATGACTGCAGTTGAAGAAAGCATTTGACAATTATTTAATTCCGTTTATTTGTACAACTGAAAAGATACAACAAAAAACTTACTACTGATTGCACTCTCTGACGGTTAATTAACTCAATTCACAGTTTGATCATAACTGAACACCAACTTGATGTAAATAGTTTGCTTCTCAGACCTATTTTTTCTGGGCTGTAGAATGTAGTTCACTCAACATACTTTTTAGACATGTCTAAGGATTAACATTTCTCGAAAACACTTTGTGATTGGTTGTCTGCTCTTATTCCAGTATGTTAGTTAAGCCAAATCTTAAAATGACAAAGTGATTCTAACAGATATCTTTATGTGTAACCTATCAAAAGCTGTAGAAAGCTTTGATATTATTCATTCCAGGTTTATTTTTATATTTTATAGAATAATGTGTAGAAGAATTTAGTAATGATGATGATGATATGATTCTTGTGATTTTCTTCAACCCTAGATATTTCTCTTCTTCACCACTTTTAATTAGCTAAATTAGCAACTGTTCCTTAACACTTCAGCGCTAGACAGTCATTCTAATTGTGTTATTTTTTTTTAGATATTCAAGTATTGATTAATAGGGATTTTGTTTGATTGCATGGAGGGTTTCATGATGAGCTGACATCTGTTAGAGAACCATTGGAAAACCACCTGGGAGTACTGGACAGCTGTTTCCTCCTAGTTTGGGACTCTTCATTGGTGCGCACCCATCTGGGTTAGAACCCAGGACCTTTTGGTTACAAGGCGATTTCATAGACCGTTGAGCTACTGGGACCCAATCCAATGGCCAGTCCATTAATTCTAACTTCTGCCAAATGGTGAAATTGTCTGCAAACAAGGTGGTATTGTTTCACCTACATCATGGTTACTAATTTCCTAATCCATTCATTAATAAACGTGTTGATTTTATAGTGACTGACTTTTTTAAACTTTACTTTTAAATACAAGGAAATAATTGTACCATTGAACACTCTCCATGCTTGTATACATGTTGTAACTTTTGGGTTTTATTCATCTTGTTTCATTTTCTTATATATGTAGTCCTACAAAAATGGGCTTACTCGATCCAGCTACACGTGATGGTCGTGTCATTTTCTTTTTACCATGGATGAATTTTGCCCTGGCTGGTACAACTGATTCTGAATGCGCTGTTACTGATCAACCCTCACCATCTGAAGCTGAAGTGAATTTCATTCTTGAAGAAATTAGCAGTTATCTTTCACCAGAAATACAAGGTAGGTTGCTTTTTATCTTTTTTGTTGACCTTTTTTTTGAATCGATCTCTTTAAAGTCTAATATACCAATCTATTGAAATTGTATACTGTGACTACTCCTCGTCTCAAAGACCTCATTTCTCGAAGTCATCCGTATCCACATCTATTTGCATATACATATCCCTATCATTAATGATTTCATATTTTTTTTTACTGATAGTTCGTCGTGGCGATGTACTTTCAGCCTGGGCAGGTATTCGACCACTTGTTCGTGATCCTAATTCTTCTGATACTCAATCGATTGCACGTAATCATATTATTAATGTTTCACCGTCAAAACTGATAACAATTGCTGGAGGAAAATGGACAACTTATAGAAATATGGCAGAAGAGACTGTAGATAAGGCTATTGAGGTAATACATCCTTATTTTCTGATATATATATATATATATATATATATATGTAATGTTACTTTACATTTATAGACTTTGAGAAGGCCTTCGACAGCGTTGATCGTGAAGTAATTTGGAAATTACTCGAGTACTATGGCGTACCCCAAATATTCATCAACCTATTCAACAGCTGTACGACAACGGCACCTGCCAAGTGATCCACAACGGAAGACTCAGCGAGGCGTTTGAAGTAAACACAGGTGTCAGACAAGGGTGCTTACTATCACCAATGATATTCCTAATTGTGATGGACTGGGTTATGCGTCAGACTATGGGAAACGAGAAGACAGGAATATCCTGGACCGACGTGAAGAATCTATAAGACCTGGATTTCGCGCGTGGATGATTTATGTTTGATGTCACACACAATCGAAGACTTACAAGGGAAAACCGACAAACTGGTCGAAGAAGCAGCAAAGACAGGACTCCAGGTAAACATAGACAAGACGGAGGTTATGAAAATAACCAACCAACAACAGCAACAACATCCAACGTCAATCACCATCAACGCGAGGAATTTGAAAGAGGTCACTTCATTCACTTATCTAGGGAGCATTGTCTCAACTACAGGAGGAGCGGACGAGGATGTCAAATCGAGCGAGAATCGGGAAGGCAGGCGAGAAACACATTCATCAGCCTGAAATCAATCTGGAAATCTTCGTCACTCAGCATCACCAACAAAATCCGCTCGGATTTTCAATACAAACGTCAAGTCAGTCAGTTCTTCTACACGGATCAGAAACTTGGCGGGTCACAAAATATATTTCCAAAAGGCTGCAGACCTTTATACACAACTGTCTTCGCTCAATACTGAAGATAAGATGGCCGGAAAGAATCACCAACAAGGAATTATGGGAACAAACAAAGCAAGAACCAATCGTCCAACAAATATGCAGGAGAAAGTGGAGATGGATCGGACACTCGCTGAGGAGACCGCTGGGTAACATCGCGCGCCAAGCCCTCGAGTGGAACCCGAAAGGGAAGCGGCGTGTGGGACGTCCAAGGGTGACATGGAGGAGATCGTGTGAAGAGGAGTTGAAAGAATATGGATTAACATGGATGCAGGCGAAAAGTATAGCAGAAGACAGAAGAAAATGGAGACGTGCAGTTGAAGCCCTATGTTCCACTAGGAACCCAAGGGAGCAATAATAATAAATGTTACTTTACAAGACAAGTAATAATTCCACTTTTCTGAACAATGATACAAAATACGATTATCTTGTAAAAGATACTTTTAATCCTCTTGTTATTATATCTACCTGATGTGAATTGATCTCCTTTCTAGAATTTTTTCAATTCATATAGCGGAAATGATGCAGTAGTATTATTGTCCGACTGATTGATGTGTGCTAAGTTAAAAATGAATTGATTGATTTCACCTCACTCTGATTGACTGTCTACTAGAATGTCGATTCACTGAATACAATGAGACCAAGTCTACAATTCGCAGTGGTACATATCAGCTAATGAGTTATGGGAAGATTAAATCCAGAATAAAAGTCAAATGTTACCGAACAGACAGTTATTTCTAACCTATGAATGGAATTCGCCGCTGAGCCACTGGTGAAACGTTAGCTAGCTATTCTGAAGTTCCGAACTCGACTCCCGTCTGAAGAATTTTTGAGCCTGGCCTTTTCGGTAGTATTCCCTATTTGTGTCCTGTGTTTTAAGTACGGTGAATTTATAATCCACATACCTTCAACACTTTTTTTTGAAGGGTGGGGTTGGACGTTTCAATGGCTGTTTTCCCACCTATTCATGAATGTATTTACCACCATTGGGAGGGGGGATACTGGTGACGCATTAGCAACTCCCTCAGTTTGTTTGTTTATTTTCCCTTGGAACTTAGATATTGTAGAAATGAGGCATAGCTATACTGTTAGCATTATGACTTGTAGTGGCTTTTTTGTTCTAAGTTCAAGTTCTCCCATAGTCACACACTCATCCCACCCTTTGGAAGTATGAAAGGGATTGGTGAAATGTTTAAGTAATAGAGCATAAAAACTAAGTAGTATCATGGAAAATCTAAGACAGGAATTGAGGCACATAAGAGATGCTTTAAAATTAAGTAATTAGCCTGATAAATGAATCAGGAAGTATGTAGGAAAGTGTAAAAATAAAATTAACAATAATAATAACAATAATGACAGGAATACTGATAGTAATAATAATAGTAACAATGACGACGTGCATGTTGAACATGCAGAGAATAATGACAGCATCAACAATAAGGAATTTAAATCACCATACAAGGAAGGAACCTCGGAGACCTTACGTAGAATTTTTGACAATACAAGCAGAAATAAAATTGGCATTCAAACCCACAAATTCACCTGGAGACAAACTTTATCTGTTAGAGGGTCCCGTGCAACCCACTAAACAGAACGATTTGGTTTATCCAATACCCTGCATTGATTTTCAGGAGAAATACATAGGTCAAAGTAGTGTATTAGGGCCAGTCAGACTGGCGAAGCATAACAATGCAGCAAAATCTTTTCGAATCGCTTTCAATTTTTTTCTCATATGATTTTGATTTGTCCTGAAAATGTCATTCACATATAAAAACTGTCTTATATCAAATAAACAATTCTACTTATGGCCGTATTCACCCTTAAATTTAAGAATATTCCACCGCTTGCAATTTAACAATATCTCTACTCTTTAATCATACTTTTATTTAATCATTACAACTTCCTGTGCAGTGTAGACATCGTGTTCGTTTTTAATGCTTTATTCTACTCTTTTATTGAATTTGAGATTTTCCCGTCGATTGATTGGACCGAAGTGCTCGGTCTCAGGTTGACATGTCGGCTTCTTGTGCAGATGCTTCGACGATGTCTGGGCATTTAGTTGGTATTTAATTGGTGGATGGTGACTAGCAGTGGAATCCACCAAGATGCGCATTTCGTCCTATTTGGGACTCGTCATCTGGATGTACCTGCATTTCTCAGTGATTGGTGATGTTCTCACCGAGGCTCGAACCCAGTGTCCATAGTTTCAGACGCTAAAGCGTTATCCACTAGATCACTTGGACAATGAGAGAGCCACCTCTTGTGCAACGGGTCATATTAGTTTTATTGAATTTGGTGGCTCTCGTGGCCCAAGTGGTCTAGTAGATAACGCTTTAGCGTTTGAAACTATGGGCATTGGGTTCGAGCCTCGGTGGGAACATCATCACTCACTGAGAAATGCAGGTACATCCAGCTGACGAGTCCCAAATAGGACGAAATGTACGTTATCCTGGATTCCACTGCTAGCCACCATCCACCAATTAAATACTTTATTCAACTCGTTTAAAAACGAACTAGTTATTCATCTAAAGAATATGAAGCATTATGTCACAGTGATTACTTATGCACTTTACTATTCAGATTGGGTTGTAAGCTGGAGGCATAAACACTTTGAAGATGCTGTTTTCCTTGCATCGATGCTCCAGTGATAGAATACTGGCTAACCACACATCTTTTTCGGATTTAATTCACGACATACTTACTTCTAAACCTCACTTAACAGGTTGTAGTAAATCCAGCATAGAGGAAAGGTCGAGCGTGAGGCTACAAGCTCCACTCCGTGAAAAGAACCCCACCAAAGTCTAAGGGCCTTCGTTCCACTCGGAATGCAAAAGAATCGGAGTGAACAAAAATATTCCTGTTTTCAAATTTTTAATAAGTCTTCATTTTAATTCAAAATAAAAAACATTATAACTTTAACCATCACAGATTATATGTTTTCTTTTTTCTTTTGTCATTATTTAAAAACAGGTGTGTGGTCTTAAACCAAAAAGTCCATGTCGTACTAAAGGTCTACTCCTAGAAGGTGCTCATAATTGGTCACCGAATTTATTTATACAAATTGTTCAAGAATATGGTATGGATGTTGATGTAGCCCGTCATTTAACTGGTATCTATGGTGATAAAGCCATTACTATTGCAAATATGTCAAAATTAACTGGTTTTAGATGGCCAATATTGGGTAAAAAATTACATCCTGAATTCCCTTTCATTGAAGCAGAAGTAAGTTGATGGTTGTTGATGATTTTTTCTTCCTATAAATTTGTTTTTATAAAAATAAATTACCCATTATGTTATTATTCACTAACATCCATTTCTTATTTCAACATTCAATTTTTTAATGATGTTTCGAACATGTTAAGGTAACAATTCGGAGGAATGTACATACGTACATTTTCATAAATTGAATATTTGCTAGCTGCTTAACGACTTTCTCCCACGAACTATCGTAGATAGCTTCCTCTCGACCTGTCAGTGGCGGTCCCAGCACAGTTGTCATAGGCGTCGAATCATGAACACTCACCAACTCATTAACAGCTTCGAAACGACACAGGAAGCTCCGGATGTCCTCTCATTTCGAAAGCTGAAGGCCATGGAATCTTTATTTGGTTGAAGGCAGAGACAGCAAATGCAGAGGCAGAATACATTAGTATTTGATAGCAGAATTGTTTGTTTGGCAGAAATGGTGTGCAGCTATGGCAAAATTCAGAAACCTAACATTGAAATCTTTATTTGCATATGTTCACCGCACTGTACTTCTTTTGTCTTCTTTTAAAGCTTTCTATAATGTTTCACTAGGATCCATCATTTCTTGTAGAAGACATCGCACAATAAACTACTTACAGAATTTTATCAGTAGCTTAATGTGGTCCATCAATAAGTACTAGTTATAAAGCATGACGCAGTACTCCAGTATATACAACAATATTTCCTGTTGTTGTCTTTAAACTTAATGAATTAACTGTTCAAATAGGTCTGTTAAAAATACATCTTAGCTGAAAAGACATTTAAAAGTTTCTTAATCGCCACTGATGGAAATTATCCTAGTTGTTATTTGTTTGTAAGGATTTGACTGATTGGTTACAGGATTTCATTATGAGCTGACATCAGTTAGGGAAACATTGGAAAGCCTGCAGGTAGTACTGGACGGCTGTTTCGTCCCATTTTGGGACTCTTCACAGTAAGCACGCGCCCCGTTGGTGTTCGAACCCAGGACCTTCTAGTTACAAGGCGAGATCATAGACCATATAGCCACTGGGACCCGATCCGACGGCCTATGAATTCTAACTTTTGCCAATTCATGACACAGCGCGACCTCTACTAGTTGTACCTTCCACTTTGTACAAGCAAATAGTTTTCTCGTCGGTGAATTTGTTTCTGTAGAATAAATTGATCCATTTTTAACGGAAATCATCACAATTTCGTTTTGCCGTTTATGATTATTATTTTTTCTAGGTTGAATATGCTTGCCGAGAATATGCTTGTCATGCAGTAGACTTTCTTGCTCGTCGTACTCGTTTAGCCTTCTTAAATGTTCAAGCAGCTCAAGAGGCTTTACCAAGAATTGTTGATTTAATGGGTCAGCATTTAAAGTGGAGTAATGAAAGAAAAAAACAAGAAATGAAAGAAGCAGAAGTAAGTTTCTATTTCGTTTTCTTTGTTTTATTAAACTGAGTAAGTTGGAAGCTTTGGTTAGTCATTGAGCTTCATGTCAACAATATAAATCCCTAAGGGATTTTCAGTCAGTGTGTTTACACAAGTATGTCAGATGTTCCCTTCCCATCCTTCTTTCAATATATGAGGAGATTAATTTGGAAATGGAAAGTGTTCAGTTTAATACTTTTTTTCTTGAGGAAATAGTTCCTGTACCTTTTTTAGGAATCTTCTCCGTTCCCATATTAAATGACTTATCTGTCAGTCACAATTTTTCCATTCTTTTGAAAAATAGGGTTTTAAGCTTTAAACTTGAGAGCTTGAGTAGGTGTGGTGTCGTTCTTACAGGGTGGGGGGTTGGTTGCTAGCCCCACGACCAACCTGCCTCCTTTTCCTTGCTTACTGCTGGTTGGGGCAGAAATCGAACCCGAATCAGGTGCGTGGTTGGCGAGCATTTTACCACTGAATCACTGACATACATCGACTACTTCGGTGAATTATATTGTGGGCTATGAATCTAGCATTTCTTATAGTCACCTATACCTTTGGTTAGTGTGATTTATCTTCCGTCTTACATTGGTGATTAATAAATGAATTTCAACGTGTACGACTTAATTTAAAACGAGCAGCAAATGTGAAAAAGGCAGTATATAATGAATTCATAAATTTCGGTAGGACTCATCAGCTGAACACTCTACAAACAATGTTATTTATACAGTTTTTTCTAGGTTAACTACATACAAACACATGAACATTATGTGAGACAACAAATAAGTATCAACTTGAGCAAATACACAATCTATAAATAGTGAGAGATAATCTGTTAACGTCATCATTCAGTGAATGCTATTCATTAAAGCCTATATTAACAAATAAAGTAGAGTTATTATAGTATAATTAATTCAGTTATAAGCTAAAACAATTCGTCCCTTTGATAAATTTAAATAAGGCGTCTAGGAGACAAACTTCACGAGATGATGACAACGTTTCGTAGTTTCTCTACAATCGCTTTACCAAACAACATGGTTCACAATAATAAAAATAAAACAAAATGAATGACAATCACTCACTTATGCATAAAAAAAGTACATTCTAATGACCAATCATATTTAAATAGGTCAAGTAGTCAGTTCATGGTAGGCGAAGGTTGAAGTGTTTATTGTTTTTTTCGTACACATAGTTTAGGATGTATGTGATTGACTAAACCTCCAAAGTGCTTCCATCATCACTTTGAATAACCTTGAATTAGAGTTATGTGATGAAATAATTGTGAAACAGTCGTTGATATTGATTTTGTGACCAGACATTAATAAGTGCTTTGCAATAAATCATGATGTTGATGATGTTTCTTAATAGCCATTTAGGAAGATGTTGTTTCCGATGACACTGGAACATTGTATAGGTTCTAATTACGTAAGTGTCACTGAAACTGCAAGTGAACTTGTAGATACAGTTTGAAGTACAGTTGACGGAATTTCGTCTTTTAATGGTAGGTATAGAAATTGAAAATATTCGGTATATAAGGAAAATGGACAGGGTGTATAATGTGAGCTTGGTAGCTGACTGAATACTTTGATCTGTCAAATGAATAATTTGGTCACCCTTGAATCCAGATTTGATAATACTGAAATACAAGCAAACTTCGTAGAAAGCACAAATAAATAAATTTTAACATATGGAAACCAAATTAAGATTGGGCAACAAGATTTCAACATATCTGATCTAAACTCATATTGTAACAACAGAAAACAAGGGCCAGGAAACAGATCGTTTATTAAGGAAATCAACACATATTTATAGATTTCTCATGTACATATTATAGATTATTGTTAGCAGAAAAACAAAGTCTCCTGATTGGTTGTTTCTCACAGAAAGTTGACCATGCATCTCTTTGTCACTGTTTCTTGAATGTCAGATCATCTATATGTTAACTGTATCCTCCTACGCAAAGTCGTTGTTCTTATTTTTCTCACGACCAGTATTGGGGACATAAAGATTGACGTAAATTACTGTCTACCAATTTTGATTAACCGTCAGCTCTCACCACAATATGACAGTTTGAACACTGCTTACCAAGATTAATACTGACTCGTGATTTTTCGATTTGCACATATACTAAGTATGTCGGATATAATAATGATGATAATAATAATAATAGTTGAAAAACACTCTAAAGCGAAGAGTGAAGGGAAGGAATATTGTAAAGGTAAAATAAAAATATACTACCATGGTAGATTTAAGCTATCTGCCGTCTCCTTTATGTTCACCTAGATCTGGCTTCTTTAATTTGATTTCACAGGCTTCGGCAAAATCAAAAGTTTTTTACATTACTTTGCTTTCTACTTAACATCACCCCGTATGACCACAGTCCAATAAATGCCGTGTGAGATGATTGAACTCCTTGGCATGCTATCATGAGTACTTCATAGCCATTTGGTGGGTGGTGTTCGGATTTTTTCTTAAGCTCATAAACTTTTTTGTGTGAATTTTAGTCATAAATCTTGATGTAAAGAATATAATTCATCAGTGCAACAAATATATAGGTCCAAACCAAGTTCACTTTTAACAGTTTGAAAAAATTTGGGCATTGGGTATATGATATTCATTATAATAAAGTTTTTTGTATTTCCCAATGAGTGAAAAACAAAACGATATTGTTGTTTTTGCTGTTTCGCTATTTAATGCTACTGCTAATAGCTTTATCAAATTATTATCAAACCAGAATTTACAAAATCTCAGAATATATATAACAAAGAGTGAAGGGGTGAGAAAATAGACAAGTTAGGTCAAGTTAAAAGGACATACTGAAAGTCAAAATAACAATGAAGATCACTAAACCAAATAACATAGGCATTAGTACATCTGTTACGATATCAAAACAGAGTTTTACTAACTTGATCATCGTTCGTCAATATGCGGTCATTTTTCGTTGTCAAGTTGGTCAATTGGTAGAGATAACAAAACCAAGTGTAGATTGTTGAATTTGATCAGTGTGTAAAATTATTAAAACAGCGTGTGTTTACAAAGTGAAATTGCTTATCACATTCGTATTTTGTCACACTTCATGAGGAGGGAGGTGTTGTAACCAGGTCAAATTCCGTTTAAGTCCATCATTTCTATTCAGACAATTCGCATTCCACTTGATATGAAGAGTTTCTGATATCACATGTTCTTTGTGATCTCTGAAATTTTTCTGGATGATGATTTCAATATTGTCAAAATCAATTTTTGTGAACTGATTCTATAGCGTAGCGTGTAGACGACCTATGGCTGATGATTTTTCAGGTTTTTCTAGCTCAACTGAATTTCTCTTTGGTCGGATACTGATACCCTATGGTGTTCATTTCTTCTGATTATGACTTCTCTCTGGTGAGTTTTGTCCGACGTATATCGCATCGCATTCCAAGCATTTCATTTTATAGACACAATTAGATAGATAATCTTTAGGGATTTGGTCTTTTACACGGACAAAGTTGTTTCGTAGTATCTAATGTTTTGAAGAAAACTCTAATGTCGAGCTGATTGAGTACTCTTCTGATATCATCTGACGTCTCTGTTCTATATGGAATGACGACTGTTGAGGTCCATGTTTTCGGAATGCGTTTTCAACCATACTTGATATCAGTGTTGATTTTGTTGATGAAGTTCCTTGGGCAGTTGTTTTGCTTGAGAGTTTCAGTAATGTTTGATATTTCGGCTTCTTTTTCTTGCTCATCCGTTATCAGGGAGTGTGCTCGTCTAAGAAGACTTGAAACAACTGAAATCTTTGCGCTGATTGGGTGTGATGATTTGAAGTCTAAATATTTATTGGAGTGGGTTTTCTTCCTGAATATGGATGTACTAAAATGTCTGTTTTCCCTCCTCTTAAGTAGGTAGTCTAGAAATGGTATTTCACCGACGTCTAATTCTGCTTCCGAAGTAAACTGGATTGTGGTACACAGTTTATTTTCTCCAGGAATGAACTGTGTAGATCTCTTTCTAGTACTACAAAAGTATCATCTACATATCTTAAACATATTTTAGAAGTGAGTATGCTTGACTTCCTATACGTCCCTTTAACTTGACCTAAGCCTATTTTCTGCTATGGTATCAAAACTAAATTTACCAAGGAGCGTTTAATGTGATGACAAATTCTTTTTGAACGCATAAAGGTGGCTTGAACTTTCTAATTGCTAGGGCTTCCACAAACTTTAGGATACGCCCATACACGTTATTTGGTTTAGTGGTCTTCATTGTTATTTTTACCTTGAATATATATATATATATATATATATGATAGAGAAGATTTGTAGCTCAGGTGGATGATTTTGATGTGGTTTTGTTCTCTGAGCTGGATGGTTAGCTTGCGAAGCTTTCATCACCTTACTGGGTGACATCTTCAGCGCATACTTCAATTTGAAGTCAAATTGAAGTATGCGCTGAAGATGTCACCCAGTAAGGTGATGAAAGCTTCGCAAGCTAACCATCCAGCTCAGAGAACAAAACCACATCAAAATATATATATATATATATATATATGTTGTTGTAAATTCCGGTTTAATAATACTTTGATAAAGCTATTAGCAGCAGCATTAAATAGCGAAACATCAGTAAAAGTAGCAATATCGTTTTGTTTTTCATTCATTGGGAAATACAAAAACCTTTATTATACTAAAACAAATAGTTTAAATAAAACTGCCTATTTGTAAATAGTGTTAACACATGGATGGTTATGTGATGAGGAATTAATTCTTAAACATTTAGGTCAGTTCTAAAATAAAATGTCACTTATTCAATAAGTATTTTGTAGTCATTGTTAACTCTACGCAAATTTATTCAGTTCATTAAGAAGTGAATCAATTCACTTTATTAAAATAATACGGTGTGTTTTTTTATAGGAAAAATATGACCGTGCATGTGTGTTTGCACTTTGTACTAATCAGTACCCCTTCTTTCTAATTCATATACAATGCCTTATGGAACAACCAGTCTAGCTTATATTA